TTCTTGGTAGCACGCTCTCCGGAAGTTAATTTGCGGCAATATTGCGCGTTTGAAGTTTCTCCTTCTGTCAAAATGATTTCTCAATTCTATGGTTCAAAATTTAAAGTTGACATTATAATTGTTTGAAGATTCCAATACTTTGCATACTAATAAAAACAGAATTAAAATTCCGTGGTATGGTGATCACAGAAAATTATTTGCTTCGGTGAATGAATGTTCCTGCAGTTCAGATTGTCTGCTTTCTCTGACAGAACGTCTTCAGAGATATAAAAATTTAAGAATGTGTCGAAAACAATGAACATGTCAATATACCGTATAAAATCTTGTAGAAACTGACAAGCTAGAGACGTTCTGATGGCTGAAACTGTCAAATGCCGTATAATTGCATGTAATTGAATGATAGCGACTGAAATTCCCCGATGGGTATAGGAGATATTTTATTAATCAAGATACAACTTTGTGAACATTTTATTTACTCATCAAGATTCACGGGTAAACAGTTAAACCTGACATATAACTGTTATAAGGGTATATAGATGCCGTTATCAGGATAATCTATACAATGCTTCAGGTATACCATGAATTGTTTCAGACATTACGTTATTGTTTATCTTGTTTATTTTATTGTATACACTCTCATTGCTTAAATTGAGAGTTAATTGTGCGGTACCGTTTGTCAGAGAATTTACCCGGTTTCCGACTATCAGTGTGTTGACTAGTTAAACAAATACAGCAGACCATAACGAAAGGATAATCAAAACAATAAGTCGAAGAAAACACAATACCATGACCAATAGACGAACAAACAAGAAAACTTCGAAAAGAGAAAAGACTGAGCAATATACAACCGCAACTATCAACCGTGTGTGACTTCAAGTTCTCCGGATGGTAAGCTTGTCGAGCTTCACTCGAGTCAGCACCCATAGTAACTCTCCTTGTTATTTATATATATGCTAACACATCTGTGTTCTTAGTTATAGCTAGAGGAGGGGTAAGGCGGATATGCAATGCTATAGCTGGTGTTGTGTTGCCATAAAAGGTAGAGAAAATAGTATATAGGTTTCAGCATACGCATAATTATTTCATCATCTGGAGCTGGACTGAAACCTGTACTGTTTAATTGCACTTCTCTTGCAACACCGGTCCGGCAATGCGCAAACGTATAAATATATGTTCATTCGAAGTTATCCCCGTAAAATTTGTAACAAGGTTTTTATATGTCATATATATTCTATAAATAAAATGTCTGTATAAACTTATTTTATGATATAACGATTTAAATTATAAAAATAGAAGGAATAAAAGGGAAAAGTTTTTGGATTAAAGGCACGGTCGGTCTTCTCAATTTATTACGGTGGATATGTCCGAATGTATCACAGGATTTCAAAAGTGTATATCAATTGGTTTTTTGGGATACTATTTTTCTGGTTAGGGAGCTACCATTTGATTTTTATGGGGGGCTAGGATGAAATTTGAAAAAAATAGGCAGGACAGGAGTTTTGAGTAAAAAAAAAGGCAGGATGAGACACTTGCAAAGTCAGGATGACAATTTAGGTAAAAAAAAGTCAGGATAAACTTTAAAAAAAAAGGCAGGACCGAACAGAGTGAAAAATAAAAAGGCAGGACAGAGATTACAACTAAAAATAAAATGCAGGACAAAATTTTTCATCCTAGCCCCCCCATAAAAGTCAAATGGTAGCTCCCTTATACATTTGCACTTCATACATGTATACGGATTTCTGACGTTCTCAATTTATTGAATATGTGTAGCCGCGTATAGGAGTGTTTTTTTTTTCGTGGGGTGGGGATAAATGGCTACTGGAACTTGAATTTCATTTTATATTTATATTCAACTAAGTATAATGTATGTTATGTATTTTTTTTAACTATCTCTATCCAGACCATTTCCTACTTGGGCATTTCAGTAGTAAATAAATATATGGTCAAATAAACAAAAACTGTTTGTGTTCCTTCTAAACAACGTACGTTAAGTGTTACTAATGTACAAATCAGAAACCCGATTTAAATAGTAACAATTTTGACAATGCTTGATAAATTACAGGGTATGGACGGGTCGTTACGATCGAAAAATACTTAATCATACGAATGGTCTCATTTCTGTCGCGGCCGTACAACACGTCGTTCGGTAACCCCGCTAGAACTATTTACGAATTCCAATGCAGGCACCGAATCACGATGGAGAAATAAGTAAAACCGGTATAAGAAGCTATCTGTTTCACTAAAGATAAAGGATTTCCCCTGATCAAAGTAAATTATTATCCGTCCAATTATAATACATTCACAAGAATCGCGTTAATATTTAATAAGACAAGCCTTTGTTTTGGTAAACTTACAGTATTAGGCGATAAAGGGTATAGGCCCAGATAAGCGGATGGCAGTTGTGATTGAAGATGACCATCAGAAGTGTGCCGAAGTGCTTGTCTCTAGTTAACCAGGGTATGTCTCAGTCATCAAGGAATTATACGGGATTTCTAACGGGATCAAAAATAAATACCGATAAATGGACTTTCCATTTCCACTTTTAAATTAAATCTGTTGTGATTTTCGCGCGAACAGCTTTGTTTCATTTGAATGTAAAATATTAAAAGCATTTTAAAATACTTGAAGAATAACTTTCACTACAGTTATTCAGGAATAATTATATAAGGTAAAATATAGTAATTGATTTTTGTTTGTTTGACGTCCAGTGGCAAGTATTTTATGCATATTCAGCATGGAAACAACTAAATACATAATAAACCAATTAAAGAAGGTCAACCCAGATGAAAATGGAGAATTTACTTGAAAACGGATGGTACATTTTGGCTAAATTAAACCAATTCTTGGACAAATAATAATATCTAAAAGTCTTAGACCAATTATACTAATTTTTTTCTTATCATCCTTTTATGTTGTTCTTAATATATGCAACTGTGTTTTACTACGGAAGTACTATATATTCAGGAGACGTTTGCTTGGAGGTTTACTGTAAATGAAACATCTCATTTTATTCCTAAAATGGGCTGCTATTGCGATTGTTTCTTGTGGATAGTTATCGTTCTATTATTTATGAATTATTTTTAAAAAATACTCTCAGCTACTTGGCATTTTTATAGAATAAAAACATGTTATATAAACCTTTCATCTTAGAACAAAATACTCAGCATGCATTTAAACCCAGCACTTAAGATCGTTTGTTTTACCATTAGTCGGTCATTAGTTAAATTTGATTAAAACAAAATAATACTTTGAGAGCTTGTGACAATATTTGTTCAGTCGCTATTTCTGATTCCTATCAAAACAATGTTTGTGTCAACAATTTCTTTTGTCCATATGGCTAAAATAATAGACGAAAGTGCAAGAATTTCAATTAAAAATTAATCCAATAATTAAATTCATTAATTAATGCAAGTATAGCGATCAAAGTCGGAATAATTACAGTTTGGTGACACAGGTGTCAAAGCCCAAGGGTGACAGTGGCATTTTCTCACCTAAAATAGTGTTTTAGAGACACAACCGTGTCAGGTCAAAGTAAAGCTGTCCAGGTAGCATGGATTACCTGGGGCACACTAATGAGAGGATTAAAGAACAAACGCTTGGGCTGCTAATAACTTAAAACAATTTATTTAATCCCTTAAACACATACAGAGTATGCTGAACTAATTTTGTACTTGTAAACACAAGTTTTATAATGCGAGATTAAATTCTCTGGTTTGTTTTACTTTCCCCAAAATTTCTATGTTATGAATGAGGTTTTCAGGATTGGAAATTAACAATAAAGTTTTCATATTTCAAGAAGAATAAAATACATATATGTGAAAGATTAATTTTATGGGTTTGATACCAGTAATTCGTTTGAAAATTCTTCCATGTTAGATTAAGAATTGGATATAGATGGTAAAACCATTCTGAAAATCATAAATATATGCCTAAGAGATTTTCAGTTCTGTCGAAATGCAAACTTTTAGTTGTCTTTGTGTATAAATGTACTGCTGTCAATAATCAATATCAAGCAATTTCTCAGCACTTGATATCATCTTTTGCAATGACTTCTTACTTATGTTGTATATTAAAAAGAGTTGTATTTGAGTTAAAATTGTACTATTAGTTGCTTATAACGGTAAAATGGTTATATCCTAATTATCAAATATAGAAATACACTTTATGCTCAATCATTGCCTGCACTCTCAGTGCTTGATGGTAACCCCTTGGAATTCAAATTAAAGTGATAATTAAAAAACAATTATTTATTTTTTTGAGAAACTGTTGTTGGTAAAACGTTTCAATAGTTATGGTAAACTTTTTTTGGTCTCTCACATTTTCACGATCGAAGAGATAATATGAATTTAAAAGGTAATTTAAAATAAATTACATTTGATCTTTTATCCAGATAAACATCACCACAATTTTACTAGAAGTCCATATTTTATGTCAACATTGCTAACAGCGAATAAACAGCCTCGCAGTTTTAGCTAAATATCATCGATCCAGTATATTGGGTTTAATTTGTTCTCATTTGCTTGCGCACAAATAGTCGCAAATTGCTACAAATTAAATAGTTTCATAACTTAATACGCTTTTTGTTGTAGAGTCATTAAATATCATATTCATTGGAACTCATATAGGCCAAATTAACGGCTAGATTGCGCACTATCAATTGTTCAGTGGTTAAAGCTATTCATAGTCTCTCTACACGTATATTGTTCGGACCGTGAAAATCTATAGTAGTTGCTATACACAACATAATGGTATATTGAAAAGAATTTGTTACTATTATCTCTGAATACAAAATATATTGTTAGAAATTTGAAAGAGACTTTTCTTATCCTGTTACATATTATATTGCCTAAGAGAACAGTCTCCATTTAAAATAAAGTTTATTGATAGGGGCATGAGAGTTTATATTGAGTTTTATTTCTGAACTAGCAAGTAGTTTGTTTTTGAGGGATGTTACCACTAAAATCTTTTTAATTATAGGAAATACTGTTTGTTTGTTTTAGGATACAAAAGATAAAATGTGATAGATATGCTTTTATAAAAACTAATGTTAAAATGAAGAATGAGGAAAATTTAATGATTTGAACTCTTGGTAAGTTTTATAATTAGATGTTTACTTTTCCTGTCGTGATTGAAATCGATATTAGCTCAATCAGAAACTGACATTCGCCTAAGAGTATGTTTTTTTACGTCTTGGCACCAGGTGTGAAATCTGACATTGGTGTACATGTCTCGATATAAATCGCAACGCTGCAAGAAAAACTGTCACCGTGTGCATGTAAACTGATACTCTTTAACATATGAGTTTATTTTTTTTTAAATTTGGTACAATTTATTACGCCAATAGAGTGAAGCTTGCATAAGAGCAACCATGTTTACATCAGAAAAAATGTCCAAGAATATCAGTATAAAATAATCACTTTCATGCATATAGTAAAGCGATATCACCCATGCGGTTTCTTATTACCTTAAAGATGCTGAAAATTAAATTAAAAATGTTTAAAACTTTAGTTTATTTTGTTGATCCAAGATGGCGACGATAAATTTGCTGGCTTAACCTTTTACGTAGTATTTCACGGACGACTGCTTTGCTTTGTATCTATTTGGAAAAATACTTAACTATGTTTGTACATGTCATTACAGAAGCGTTTAAATTTCTTCTTTCTGTCTAGAATATTTGATAAATATTAGCCGTTTTGTATTTGGTCTTGAACATACAAAAGTACTCTTCTATTTAGATACTTTTGTTGAAGACAAGACTTTAGATGTTCAATACATTTGTTAAAATTTTATCATTCTTTAAAAATCTACACGAAGAATACACTTAAATATATGTAATGTAAAAAATGTTCACTATCTAAGGGAGGTGTATAAATTTTATGATGTTTTCATTTAGTACTCTCATATCTAAATTGGGCAAATTTATAAAAAAAAGGGGATCAGTAATTGATAAACTAGAATATTAGTAATAGACATTTTCGGTAAAAAATATATACTTAATTTATAATAAGTTTGGTATATATATCTTTAATCTCATACAGCCAATGCATTACATCGGTACAGAAAAAATAAACTTTATAACAAATTTTACATTTTGCGTTAATGAAACCTACCAGGTATGAAGCAAGTTCGAAATGATTAAAATTTATCCTCATTTATTGGCGACAAATGTCAATAATATATATGAGTATTATTTTCTGAGAGTATTTTTGATTCTGGGCAATAATTTTGAGAGGAAATGTAGACAACTCGGACCCGTGTCATTTACTATTTGGGTGTAATTTTTTTTTTTATCAAAACAATCAAGCAATCGTTTGAACAGAAAAACTTAATTAGATTTCAATCTGAGATTTGTTACCTTGTATATATGACAACCACTGGAAGGAAGAAAAATTGTGTAAAATAAAGACAAAATTGCCATTAGTTGTGAAAGATAATTTAATTCTTTCCTACTACCAATTAAACTGTACCTCACACCTATATGAAAATAGACATATACTCTGCGACCTGGAATTCAATTAATTTCCACCCTGTTTGTTTCCTGTCACTCAATAATTTGATAATTGAAGGAACTTTTTATCTTAATTTTCCGGGGGGTTCCTACCGAGATGTACCCGTTAATTAGACTAAATCAATTAATCGCATCCGCTTTCTACTATTGTCATATATAATTCCATTTTCACTTTCCGTTTATATGACAAAACGAGGATGCCAAACGAATATGACTGAAAAAAAAGATGATTGGACTTGGCATATATGAAGATGTCGTCAATTATTAAAATTTGAAATTATAAATTAAAAAAGAATTTGAGTTGTATTTATCTGGACGATTATATATTCATCCTTAACATACACGATACAGAATGTTCCTTCTAATTACACGATTTGAAAATATTATGACGCAATAACATAGTTTTCCCTTACCATATCAATTATTCTAAAGTCTCTTAAAAACACAAACAGAAGAAAAACTTATTTGATATAAATACAACGTTCTTCCTCATATATTTCTCAGAATTTGAGGAAAAGAAATAAAGAAAAAAGACGAAGAATTTTTGATTGATGTAATTAATCTAAATGATATTAAATAGTCTTTATAACAATTTCATAAGTATTAAATTTATTTCATGATGTGGTATGAGTGCCAATGAGACAACTCTCCATCCAAGAAATGCCTGTCACTGGAAAAAAAGCCATGTCTAATCATATAAATACATGTTATAAATTAAAAAAACTTAAAAAAAAAAAAGGATTTTAAATGAATAAATAAATGAAATGCTGCTATGGGGGAAAATAATAGTGTTTTAGAAATTATGAAATATCGTTTTAACAGAATTAAAGTATAAGGCATACAAGAATGATACGTATAACATCACCAAAAATAATTGTAAACTGATCTGTTGTGTGTTATTATTTATTTTACCTCTTTTCTAACAAATCAAATAAATTAAGTGGTGTTTAATGCTTATTCCGAAATAAACTTTACGATTGTTTAAATGTTGTTATATTTAGATTGTTTTTAATTTAATAAATACCAAGATTGTCACGAAAAACAATAAAATCTTGTATTTGACACTACCTATAATACAAAATTAAGGTCCAATTCTTCAGGTGTGGAATGTATAATACAGTTTATACTTATTGCCGATTCTTTGATCTCAATTTTAACATATGAAATGGAAAAGTTTCTCAGCTGACTCACTTTTAGTTGACCGAAGTAATTAACGAACATTGTGTATAGATCCCCCATTTCTTTATATCTCGTTGACAACGCACGATGCCTAGGATTTAAGAACAATATGAAGGATAAAACCCTTAATCCTTTGCTTTCTCTATTTGGCGATGGGGGTAAATTTCATAAACTATTGATAAAACTATTCTACAACACGTGCTAATGTTTGTTTCAACTCATTCTTACTTACCATATATCGCTGAATTATTTATATAGAAAATACAAAGTAGAAGTAAAGTCAAAATATAATATTTGATAAATATTTCAGGATTATAATATTAAAGTTTCATATTCTTATGTTTCACCCCAAAAATGCGGAAACTGTAATTATAAACATCTCAGATCAAAGTTCTTACGCATTTCAACAAGTAGATCATGCCAGTTATATCCCAATCTAAGGTAAAAAGCTCGTGTAAATGTTTATATTTTAAAATGTGGGTCAATTCCTTAATTTATAATTGTATCATTGTCCTCATGGCCAAGGTCAGAGTAGAACTAGACGTTTTTGATTCCTCTTTTGACCAAATTACAATGGCCATTCAATGTTCTATTGTTTGCCTTTCTCCATACTATAGATATAAAATACAATACAAAAATGTAATTGAAACCTTTTATAACATGTATACAAATGTATATCAAAAGAAATAAATACTTTATCCCTTTTACTCTTATATAAAGAGTTACTTTTGTATACATCGAATGATATTTATATTTGCGGGCAATTAAACACGCTGTTTATAAAAGAAGTAAACAAATTTACCGTTTACGTCTTTAAATGAATGGAACAATTCCACAGAAAGAGAAATCTGTTACTAAATATTTTAAAAAGGCAGGTAAGATATTTTTTGCATGTAGAAATAAGAAAAATTGCAACATTGAGTGATAATACTACAATTTTTCAGTTAAGGTCAGTTGGCCGTAATTTGAATAGATCTTTAGGAAAAGATATGTTGTTGACAAAGGTAAAAAGTTAAATTTATGACGCGTATAGCAGCATTTCTAATTGTGATGGTTGTTACATTATAAATTATACATTATACAATGTTGTATGAATGGTTGTTACAGATGTAAGAACATGTGAAAACATTTACTTTTACAAATGATAAAAATCATCTCACATTTAGTCTGTCATGCTTGTAGGTGTTTTTTTTTTTTTGTTTTTTTTTTTTTGTAAGATACTACACATAAGACTTGTTAATGATTTTCTCGGACTACTATAAAAGGTCAACATTTTAGTTAAATCGCTTCTGTCTTTTTGATCATTTGTTAGATTTTCTGTTGGCTGATAAGTTAGACACTATAGAAACAGATTTACTTTACAGACTTTATTTAGGCCTCTGAAGTTCAAGGCACATATTGAAAACCTCCTTTCTTTCTAAAAAGATATAACAATGATAATGATAAAACAATAATGAGAATAATTATAAATTAAAATTTTATGATATTTTTTTTTCCGTTTGTACATTAGAATGAGTGTACGAAATCGTAAACAGTGGATAAGGATAACAGTAACCTGATTTGATTTTGCAAAAATTGAAAAAAAATTCTCAAATTTACACCTCTGTCTTAATTTTCTGCTGAATATAGCCTCTTTATCACTGAAAATTTGAATAAATAAAAAAATACGGCTTTTTTTTAGTTAGTTGAAAATGTTCCGAGTGTTATTTAGTGATTTTTTATATCCCGTATAAAATATTTATTGTCTCCTCCACTACCCGTCCGCAAAAGCTTCCAACACGCTCCTGGGTAAGAATAAAAAAAGATGATGCTTATTATCCATTAAAAGAGTTTACAAGGAGCATAGTTCAATAAGAATTCGAATCAGGTGTTTCTAGGATCTACTTTATCCATAATGTATCGTGTTTTATATCCAGAAGCTGAAAAAAATGAATAACGTTCATACCAACTGCTAAAACAAATTTTTGAAAAAAAGATGAGCTCTAAGTTCTTGCTTGCAAAAAAATACCCGACTGTTTTGCCCACTCAATTGGGAGAGATTATTTAAGTCTTAACACACACCCCCCTTTCCAAAAAAAAAAAAAAAACATAATTACTAGTAAAAGACTCTTTTCAAAATTTGCCTTACCATTGTGAAAAATAAATATGATAGCCATTGGACAGAGATTGGACTGTGACGGGTCCCCTTTTAAAAGTGATTAAAAACAATAAAATTATTCTTTATTTTTCTATTAATGAGCAACTTAAATTTGATATTTATTTAAATATTTTGAAATGTAATGAAATATAAAAATAACAACACCTGTAAAAAAATATCTAACGGATAATTTTTCATCTGCATGTCAATATTAGACCATGCCCACTTTTCACGACATGAGCGATTCTCAACATGATTGAATTCACTCAATTGTTTGGATACGACAATAAACTTTACCTGCGAAGTCCCGCCCACTTTTTAATATTACCGTGAATAACTCGCCAAAACTAAGAAAGAACTAATTTGATTGGACGGGGCAGTGTCTATTTTTCACTGACGAATCGATATCCCTTGTTTAGTAAACCGTATTAGCCAAAAGAATAAGAAGAAGTCGAAATTATAAGACCTGTTTTATAGTTTGGTAGTGAAAGCCGTATTGAGATTTATCATTTATTGGACTTGAACTTATTCAAAAGCTATTGACTATCTTCAGTTATTATAATCAGTGTATTGGACTTGTATAAAGCACGTGGAACACTGTTCAAATTTTATAGTATGGATAGTGACTTATCTAAACAGGGACCAACTACAACTTTACCACCAGCATCACAAGGAATGCATGTGCCAGTAACTGGAGGAATGAATATGCATCAACATCCATCTCAACAGCAAGTACATTCGCCTCCATCTCCTGACATGAATGGACAACACAACAATAACAACAATGGTCTTGGTAACAAGAAAGCTGACGATCGTGTGAAAAGGCCCATGAACGCTTTTATGGTGTGGTCTCGTGGTCAGCGAAGAAAAATGGCCCAGGAAAATCCTAAAATGCATAATTCTGAAATTAGTAAGAGACTTGGTGCTGAATGGAAGTTGTTATCCGAATCCGAAAAGCGTCCGTTTATAGACGAGGCTAAACGTCTTCGGGCAATTCACATGAAGGACCATCCGGACTACAAGTACAGACCTCGCAGGAAAACAAAGACCCTCATGAAGAAAGACAAGTATGCTTTACCCGGTATGCCCGGCAGTGGAGGACAGCTGCAGTCTGATCCAAACAGAATGTATCCCGGAATGAATGGATATATGCCGAATGGATATCCGATGAATATGATGCACGATCCAAATGCCTATCACATGGCAAATCAAATGGGACTAGCTCAGTATGGCAATTATTCTATTCCAGCTCAACAAATGTCTGCAAATCAGATGACATCCGCATCATATATGAATGGGACCTCAAACTACACAATGTCCGTAGGAATGAATCCGTATTCAATGTCTCCATCGCAGGTTCCTCCGTCCGTCAAAAGGGAACCAAATCAACCACAAGTTCCAGGACAACCCCGTCAAGCAGGAGATTTACGGGAAATGATTAGTATGTATTTACCGGGAGATGCCAACGATCCAAATAGTGCCGCTGCTCACCATAGACTTATGCAACAACATTATCAGCAGACGGCGTCATCGGAAGCTGCAGGGGTAAATAACACAGTGCCACTGACACATATGTAATACTTTCTGTTTTTTAATTTGTTTTACAAATTTGTGCTGCGAGAGAAAACATTATATTTCCCATTATATATATATTGTTTATCATTTTTACATTGTTGAATGAATGATTGTCGAAATCCATGACATTTGTAAGACTGTCGCATGTTTGAAAAGCATACAAATCGAATGAGACGAACGCGTGCGTGTGTGAATGTTTATTTTGAGTTATATGATGCGAATTTTGCAAAAAAATGTGCTGAAATTAATGAAAATAAATCTATATAATTTTATTACAATCATTGCAGAAGTGAAAAACTTATTTATACACGAACTGTTGAAACGAGATAATTTTGTAGAAAATATTTAGCATAATAAGTCGAATTCGAAATTCGGCAAACAAATTTAGGGAAATTTTCCACACATATATATATTTGCTCACGGTAAATTCAATTTTCTTGAAGTAGGTTTGTAAGTATGGTTAGATTTTGTTTTGTTTATGTATTAAATCGTGGTAATGTTCCGTATATTTTTTTATGTTTAAAATTGAATTTTTGAAATATATTTCAACTTTATGTGGCTCAAGGTTTATATGGTAAAATGATTTTGTTTGAACTAAACCAAACTACTTAGTTTTTTTGTTAAACTTTTATTTCATTCTGTATATTTTTGAGTAGAACGCGGAATTGGAACTAAGTTTATACACGTATTTTATATATACATATAATTCAAATGTTCGGTCCGTATATATAGTCTCTGCTAATTCTATTTGTTTACTATTTAAATTTATTTGCATTTTTTTGTATATAAAGATAATGTTTATTTTGAATTGAAAATGCAAAACAAGCAGAATTAAATGATCTTAAAACTAAAATATGTCTTACTTTAATTTATTATTGTCATTCCGGTCTTGAAAAAGGTATGCTATTTTTTTTTAGTTTTAAAACTCAAGTGTTGCAATGTATTTGGTAAAAAGCAGCCCACGCTTAACGGTCCCGATTTCTTGAACGTTAGAGAAATACAAACGGACAGGTTGGAATGTTCACAGTTGTTTTATTAGATTTGAATGGCATGTTTAATCGTTTTTAACGCAACTTCTCAATTCTTAAGGGTCCTGTGTTTTAGGTCTGAGTGTTTTTTCAAATTTGTCTTTTCAATACAATGACAAATTATAACCTGATTTGGAATGTTGACTTTATCTTGTATGACAGGGATACATTATAAAACAAAAACGTGCCGTGAAATGCCACTTCAAGCAGTTGTATCATTATAAAAATTATTTTCACGTTGAAAATTGTAAATTTTAATTCTTGAATATATTTTGAATGTTCTTCTTTATTCTACATTAATATTTTTTTTTTATTTCAAATCAATTTGAAATTAAGCTTTACAACTGCGTGCGTTGCCATTTACACAGGCTTTGACTCATTGGGCTGTAATTACAATCAGAATACATCACAATGAAATTTCATGCGGAATTTTAATCATTTTAATCCAGGAATTTGATTTTCTCATAAAATTTCATTGTAATTTCACCTCTCAAAAATATCCTAACATATTTTTTCACCCAATACATTCACACCTTTACACAAAACCATTTAGATCTCTTAATTTTTATGTTTCCTATTTGTAATAAATATCCACACTTTACCGCAAATTTCGTTGAAATCGACATGAAAGAATTTCAAATTAAGATGCATCATTAATGATCAGAATTACTGAAACATGAAAACAATAAAATGCGTATGGGATTCTAGAATACTAAATCATACTTGGACTTTCTCAGGATCATTTCATGATCTAATTAGACGGTGACTATTTCGCATATTGTATATGACCCCTCCAGTAAATTGTTTTAGCTAATTTTCTTGCAATCTATCATGTTTGCCCAATAAATTACAGTCACCACTAAGCAGCATTATCGCTTGGGCGACAAAATCATTTGCCGACCATTTCTAATGTGTAATCCTGGGATCAAACAGTTTCAGTTAAACAAGATTTATGATATCACTATCATCTTTAATGAGATTACGATATTAGTATTGTCTTCCCAGTTTTATCACTCAATGGTAACATTTCGGTTAAGATTTCATTCAGGATTCCCCTTAAATAAAATATTAAGAACGTAGACGGACAACAGTAATATCAAGAATACTTAAAAATAAAACAACAAATACGATTTAATTAGTAAAAACTTTAAACCCGGGACCAGAACAACATGCCATCTTTTTCTGTTTAAGGTTTTTGTTAAGTTTTAATACACAATTAAATATATTTTGTTTGTCCGTAATAAACGTTTATTAGAACATGAAATCGACAATATCTAATACACCTCACTAGGTCTTTTGAAGTTTTCGTTTGAAATGTATATTTAGTCATTAAAATCGTCCAATTCAGTAATACTTGCTAAAATAATATGGACGAAAAACCTATAAAATTTTCAGCTCAAGAAAGCGCCTGGCATGTTATTATTTTACCAAGGTGAACTTAATCACAAAATTCACACCAGGTGGAAAGACAGAACTAGTCATGCGTTCATACTACCTAATGTCGTTTCGGTAGGGCCAAGTAATTTTTAGATTGTCCTGGGTTTAAAATTACTTGATCTACCAGTTTTTCTCATATGCTGTATTTGTGTTTGCTCGACCGATTTAATAGGTTTGGTTGCAATGTTTAAATTAAACGTAAAACAACAGGACTTGAATAATGGCCGTCTACCCGTATCGACCATATAATTTACGCTTTAACGCTTCTCACGATAATTAAAGGTTCCTAGCCCATTATTTCAGTCTGTTTTTGGTTATGAAAACGAAATAATTCTTTGTTATAAGCACCATAGGTTTGAACATTTTTCATTTTAATTTTACACATCGTCTGAAGTCGATATAGAAAAACAAAAAATGACAACTCAACGAAGAATTGAGTGTAGTTACCACAATATCGTCCTTACTCCCTGATTTTAAGAATGCCTACCATTTAAGGAACAAGAACAGCTGACCCTTCTGGAGCACCCTAGTTGACCCCCTGTAATCTGACCCTTCTGGAGCACCCAAGTTGACCCCCTGTAATGAATAGATTTCGTGTTGCTTGGTCATTAGTTATGTGATGTCTTGCGGTCAAAATTTATCATTATGTTGGTTTTTTTTTTTGGGGGTGGGGGGGGGTAGAGGAGGCTCTGGCGTTATCTGTTAATCCTAAGCTAGTGCTACTTGGAAGGTCAAAATGTAATGAAATAGAAGATCCTTCAAGATAAAAGTTAGTGAAAGAAATATTCAGTTACAATATTTCACTGGAAAAAATATTACAGTATTTGTTCCTAACGGAATAAAGGGCACAGGATATTAGTTCCAAAAGGAACAGATATTATGGCATTGTTTACAACAAAATTTCCAAGGGAACTTCTTTTAGGCGGAACAAATATACGTTGCCAAAAAGTTCTTGTTAAGATTATAAAATATAATGGGTCTTGGTGGTTTTGTCGGCTTCATTTTATTGTCTATGAAAGGCGGTTTTCCTTGGAGTACAATACAAAATCGTTAAGAAAAAATGGAATACGGTTTTTCTTATCCAAACAAATATGGTACCACTCATCAATTGACAGGTTTGAGTATTCTCCAAAACTATAGTTTATGCAAGGGGAGATGGTTTTCCGAGTATTAAATGTTGAGTTCTTCTGTCTTCGTAAACTTCTGATTTGTTTTACGCATGTTTATAACCAAGAGAAGACCGCATATATTTTTGAAATAACATACACCAAAGGCTCAATAATGTTTATCTTTCCCGACTTTATCGCTGGTACAGATTGAACTTGATTCAGTATTGAGAATACTAGTAAATTCTTATAATTACTGCTGGAAACATTATTATAGACTAACAATTTACTTTGCTAGAGTTGGGTAATATTTGCAAAGAAACAATCAACGACTTAACATTTAAAACATGAAGAAAGTAGCCTAATACAGTTAAAACATTACAAACATGACACAAATATACGTAAAATTCCAAACATCTTTCAAACTTATAGAAAAAAATGAAGAGAGAACATACCCCCAACAAAAAAACAGAAAAAAAATCTCGCCTAGAATTAATGTATGGAAGTGTTCATATGCATATGCATTGAGATGGGCACAATTGTCATGATTTCAATATCTCGCCTAGAATTAATGTATGGAAGTGTTCGTATGCATATGCATTGAGATGGGCACACTTGTCATGATTTCAATATCTAGCGATATGTAATGTAATATATGCTGACCTAGTAAAAAGGATCACATGAGCAGAGTTGAATAGTCTTGCTCTTTCAACTTAGTTCGAAAAAGTCAAGATAAACATATTGTCGTCAATACTCCTCATAGAAAGTTCAACCTGGAAGGATGGAAACATGTACATCGGTATTCTCATTACTAAATAAATGGGTTCCGGTGACAGTAATTGTTTTTTATTTGTTACGTCTGTTTCAGGTGCTTTGAAACTTGTTAGTTATATCAACTGAATACTGCTTAATGTACACACATGATAAATGCAAAGGTTCAACTGTTTTTTTGCGTATGTCCATCTTTTTCAATCTTTCCTATATAGTTGACATGAAACTTTACTTCAAAATATTCACCAGGTTATCATATTAGTAAATGGCTACTGACGGTCATGAGGCCTTAATGCAAAATAGATGGGACCTCATATCCAACGATATAGCATGCCTTTTAACAGAAGGTTGTTGCTTTGACCTTATTTCACAGTTTAGTGATCTAGGCTGAAATTATGCACATAATACATCTTTATATACAGAGGATGCTATGCCCTTAATTTATGATTAAGTGAAGTTAAGTCATGGTTAGGGGTTACAGTTATGGATTATAGTGGGTGCTAGGCTGTATTGACGTGAGATATTGGCATGAAACTAAATTGTATAGAATACATGACGCACACACATGTGCATGCATATACATATATATATTTTTTTTATATAAAACGTCAAGATATTAGTAAACGATCTTTCTTAAAAGGGCATTGATTCGTTATGAGAAACGATACTGTACACAATAGATAAATTATATATACGCCTAAAAACAACACCAATATTAAAAAAGGATACAATCAATATAAGTATCAGTAAACATATGCACGTACATATATATATATATATATATATATATTATATTTCTTAAATGATCGGATACTTTCTTTGAGGTCTGACGTTTGTAGAAACATACCTAGATATTTAAGGAGATTTTATATTTAAGATGTAATACTAAGGTTAATCTTCACAGATTAGCAAAAAGAAAACCAACGCATATATACGGGGTAGATGTTACAAGAATGAGCGCTTTACATGAAATTTTCCATCTTAATTGAATTTTCTTCCTATGTTTAAGAAATTTTGTGATTGATTGTTGATATAAGAGGCATATTCCGGACACTAACATGTTAATGAGATATAAAAAATACTTTTACTTTGTACTAGACCAACACGCTGGAAGAAGTTTAAATGTGCATATGGACCTAAGCAGACACAACATTCTGCCCCCGAGTCAGCCAATCTTTGCTCATTCTCCTATAAATTCCACGAGCGTGGCGGAGAAGCATCAAATACCATTTTTAAAGTCTAAAGTTTGACCCGGCAGGGAATCGAACCCACGACTTCTAGCGCTCAAGGCGACCACGCTTACCGGGATACCGATGCGGTGTCAAATAAATGTCTCTCTAAATTTTGCTGTTGATGTCAGAACTGCAGTGTTATTCTCTGTTGAATCCCACACAGGTACTATATTGATTCAATGCGATACTGTGTCAATTGTTGACCATCGTTGTAGATTTATTGGGTAATTTATGTGTCTGTGTTAAGTGAATTTGTATTGTTAGGTTGCCGTCTCTGTG